TGCACGATAAAATGGATCGGTGGGCTCGACATGCACGATCAGCAACTGTGCATCGCGCACGTTGAGGCGTGGGGGAAAAAACAAGGGCTGCCTGATAGATTTGTTTGTATCATATCAGGGACCCCCCGACCAACATTTTACTACGTGCATCGCCCCCCCCCCGTTCTCGAGGCCACCATCCCTCCGATCAAACAACGGATCAGCGCTGCCGACGCCACGATTCTTCTTTTAAGACGGGTGAATGCACGTCGAAGACAGCCCATGCAGGCAACCAAGGGCACCAAAATGGTCCAAGATGTCTCGAGGACGGTCCAAGATGGCCATACGGCGACCCTGCATAGCCAACAAGACGGCACAATATGCTCCCAAGAGGGCCCAAAATGCCCACGAGACCCCAACAGGGCCCGAAGAAGCCAAAATACAAGAAGGCCCGAGAAAACCCAAATAGCGGCCCAAGATGGCCCAAAAAAGGATGGTCCAAGAGGCATCCAAGACGTCCTCAAGATGGCCTTGAAAGGCCTCGCGACGACCCAAGACGGCCCCACGACGGCCCTCAGACACACACCAAACTTTCGCGTCGGCAGCTGGATAGAGGGCGACTGCTCCGGCGGAAAGGCAACCGGGGACACGCTGCATGCAAATGAGGGGCGCAACGCACGGGAGGAGGAAGCGGAGCCCCGGCGCGACAGGAAGAGAGGAAACCGGGCCTCTCAGAGCTGCCGGCTGCGGAGGCGGCTGCGGGGCTCAGAGCAGGGGCGCCCCCCCACACCCCACCCCCCTCTGCGCGTGGCTGAGAGGGGGGGGGCAGCGACGGAACAGGCTGCAATGGGCTGCACTGAGCTGAAGCTGGGGAGGGCAGCCTGGAGTCGCAGCGGGGGGTGGGAACCAAACGAAACAGAGCCCAAACCGGTGGACCGAGCAATCCAAAAATGGGGCCAGTGCACCGAGACCTGCGGGCCTACGAGGCGCGCGCGACGAGACAGAAGGCGATTGCCATGTCTGATCAGCCCCAGCTGTTGGCGCTGCGCTGCAAGCAGACACAGGGGGGGGGGCATGGGGCAACACTGAGCTGAACAGGGCTGAGGCTGCTGCCGAGCCACAGAGGCGGCGCCCAGCCCAGTGGGCCAAGGCAAGGCCCCAGGATATGCCGAAGCGCCAAGACCTGCGGGCCTGCGAGGCGCGGGCAGGGAGGGGCGGAAGGCAGGCAGTGACACCGCGCAGCCCTGGGCGGTACAGAGCAGCGCGGGACCAGCCCAAGAATGGCGGCGGTAGAAAAAGAAAGACGAGCGCCCGGAGCCTCGACCCGCGCCGACGGGAAGGCCCCCCGACGTCGGCAAGGGCAGGGAGCGCCGAGACCAGGCAGACCTAGGAACCCAGCCGCAGAAAGAAGGGCGACCTGGCGGGGCGCCACGCCGAGGCAGCCAAGGCAAAGAGCAAGGCAACGCCAAATGGGGGAGCGGCAAGCCCAGAGCAGGCAGAACGAGGGAGAAGGGCGACGGCAGCAAACGCCAGCCGGGGGCGAGGTGGGCGAGCGGGTGGGCCCCGAGGCAAGGAGCCAACCGGGCAGCAGCCGCAACGGCGAGGTGCCAAGGTGGCAACCGCGGCATGACACCAGTAGCTGGCGCTGGGGAGGTGGCCAGAAAACCAAACAGAGGGGGGGCGCCAGCAAAGCAGCGAGCGTCGCCCGGCCAGCGAAGCATGGCAAGGGCCAGCGAGGTGCCACAGGCAGGGCCTGGACAAAGTCTGCAGAAGGCCAGCGCCCCAAGAGGCAGAGGGCGGCGGCGGGGCAGGGCACCCCAAGGCGCGCGGGAGGGGCGGCCCGAGGTCACGAGCGGGCGGCAATACCAGTCTGCAGCGACAGGGCCCACCCGGAAAGAGCAGCAACGGTGAGGATTGACCAGGCGCCGGCAAGAGCGCAGTCGGGCCCCGCGCACGGGCACCAGAGCGCCACCCGGCGCGGAACCGACGCCGGCGGCTGCGCGAGGAGGCACGCCCCAAGCGAGAGCTGGAGGCTTGCGGGGGGGGGGGGGCGCCGAACAGGTACACAATGAAAAGCGGCCACGAGGGCGGAGACGCGAGGTCGGCGGGCAGGCCCCGAGCGAAGGCCGGGGGGCGGCGGGGGGGCACCGAATAGGCGCACAATGTGGAAAAGCCACGAAGGCAAAGGGGGGGGGACAATGGCCAGGGGCGACTGCCAGGGCGGCGATGTCAAGCTCAGTACAGGACGAGGTGATAGGGCAGCTGGCTGGATGCCGCTGATGGAAGCTGGGCGGGAAGGGTCGTTACTTGGCCAAGAGGAGTCCGCAGGCCGCTTCCCTTTCCGACGCGGTGGAGCGCCCTTCCCTTTGCCTTCCGCGAGCTCAGAGCTTTGCCTCCACTCGTCAAATTTGCGATGCCACTCAGCGAGCCCGTCGACTTGCACGCCCTTATTCCAGCAAAGTCTGCGCACGTCGTAATTGACCTCGCTGAAGTCATGCACGAAACCTTGACAGAATTCCGGGTTGTGACGCTGGGGGTCTTTGGCGGAGTGGGGTCCAGACTCCTGGTCGCAGATGGTATTCCACCCGAAGGACAGCATGGGGCCACATTCATTCTTGAAGCCATTGATCACCGCTCCCCAGTCCTCCCTTGCGTTGGCTCCGTGATTCCAGGTAGGGCATCAGGTCACCTGGTGCCTCGGCCTCTAATATAGAGCCCGCGATTGGTGTCCGACTGAGCCACGGGCAGCGCGCAAGGGGGGTGGTGACGCTGCGCCGGCCCCCATCTCCAGGGCGGGGTACTTTCCGCTGAGCCTCGTCCGCGCCACCCCTGGGACGCGCCCGGGCTGCACTGTTCGCTGGCCCTAGAGGTTTTGCGCACTGGCTCTTCTTCAGCGGAATGCGAGGCGCGAGAATTGGGCCGAGCTGCCAGTGGGCAGCACGAGCAGGGCTGGAGGAGGGGGGCACGCTGACTGTTGGATGGGAGAAATTGCCAGGGCTGCGCCGTCTCCCAGAACGCCCGCTAGCCAGACTGCCCGCGGGGCCCCTTCCACTCCAGTCGCAGGAGCATATGTGGGAAGGCTCGAGAGAGTCTGAGCGGGAGCTGGATCCCCCCCCCCTGCCCTGCCCCGCCGATCCTCGGGGGGGGGCTTCAGACGGCTCAGTACCCTTGCCACTGGCGCGGACAGGCGCCGTTGCACGCCCCGAGGAAGCTGGGGGAGTGGGGCTTCCGCGAGGGTGCGTCACTTCTTTGCAGCAGTTGCACGGAAGTCCCCCACGAGTGGTTGCTGTAGCGACGTTATCCCCCTTGACTCCAAGTTGCGGAGCACGATTTCCCGGCTATACCATGCTGGGTCTCGTCACTTCCCGGACGCTCTGGGGTCGCGCTTGCTGCGGCGCGCATCCCATTCGTCGGGCTCCTTGCGCGATCTGGCGGGGGCATGGGAGATCCGTCGATGCAGGTGGTTGGCCAGGAGGGCCAGGGTGGCGCGCTGGCGCGCTCACCGCCCCAGTGGACTCCTGTGGGGATACCAGCTGGCGGGATGGAGTCACCGCATATGGAGACCCCGAACTCCTGGGAGCACGCTTCGAGCCAGGCGCTGGGGCCAGAGCTGGCGCCGCGAGGAATCAGCGTTTCTCGCCATCCATGTCCTCCAGCGCTCGTCGATCTCTGGAGAGACTGCTCGAGGCTCGGGCAAACGCCCAAACGCCACCATGATGCGCGCGATCGCGTTGTCCGCACTCATGGGCGCTTTGTCAGGATGGATGTGCCTGGCCGCCTGCACGGCGGCAATGACCCTCGACATCAGACGGGGGCATGCCGGAAGGTTAACGCTAGGGCGGCCGTCCAGGAGGATAGGGGGGGCGTCGCGGGGTCGGCCGTCTGTTCCGCCCGCGAGCCGCCGCTCGCCGTTGGCGCCGAGGCCGACCGGCTCTGCCGGCGACGTGCCCTGGGGAGGGGGTCGCTGGAGCCCGCGGGGCGGCCGCCAGATCACGTCCGGCCCCGCCGCGTGGAGGCGGCCGCCGGAGGTCGGGAACCCGCGCGAGGTTGCCCTGCGGTCGTCTGGGAGCAAGAGGACAATGCTTACGTGGTGGACCTGCTCCTGGGTGGTCGACGTTGCCTGTCTGTCTGCTTCCAGGGCGCGGGGCAGCCGCACGGCTGGCCGGGGGCGGGGGCGCCGCCGAGGGGGAGCACGCAGGTCGGAGGTGCCCGCAGCCCTTGCTTCTCGCTGGGGGAAAACAGCCTTCGGCAGGGCGGCCCAGGCCCCTGGAGGGTCGAAGTCGGGCATCGGGGACCTACTCATGCGCCCCCTTAGTGCTTGCGAAGTCCTGGGCCCAGGAAGAGGCGGCCCCGCGCCTCTTCGGGGCATCTCTTCGCCTCTTTTGGCCATCTCCTGCGGGAACAGGTCGCTACCATCCCTGTCGAGGATGATCCGTACCTGGCTGGGACGAGCATACCACATATGCATAAGGCAATCTTCGCAGAACGAGGTTGCGCCCCAATGCATGTCGGCGAAAGCTTGGGCGCGCTCACTGGGGATAGGAACGCCGCCATGCAAGAACTACAGCCCCAGGCACCAGAGAGGGATGCCAGTAGTATATCCCTCCTCCCCCTCGAGAGGAGTACGATAGTAGTAGGGCTTCGCCTCGTCATGGACGCCGAGGCTGCATGCACCTGGCTGGTCAGAGCGACGGCCTTAGGCACTGGAGAAAGATGCCATGAATTTATTCCTCCCCCTCGAGTGAGCGATAAGATATTGACAGGGCTTCGCCTGGCCACGTGAAACCTGAAGCTACATGCACCTGGCTGGTCAGAGCAACAGCCCCATGCACTGGGGAAGGATGCCGTTAATTTCCCCCCCACACTCAAGTGAAAGGCGACGCGGCCACATTATGGCACAACCCCGGCAACAAGCTGACTGGGTTTGGTCACTTGGTTGGGCAGTTGCGGTCTGTCAAGCCCCTGCGCGGCAATCCGCGCGCGCAGCCATCGAGCAGCGCGGAGGGGGCGGCGAACGTTAT